GCCCTGGTTAGCGGGAGCTCAAATTTTAGAGTTTAAGGTTTTAGAGCTTTAGTGATCCCATCCGGCAACATGGGTATATGCCTGTCAGAGGGTCCGAGTTTTGGCGGTTGGGGTTACGGCCTTTTGAAGCCTTGGCCCCGCAGGCGATTTTATGCTTATCATGTGGTTGGTGGACAAAGTCCTACATGACCCTATAAAGCACAGCCCTGGCCATGTCATCAGTATGCTGCTGCGGCCATCCATTAAGAAGAGGCTTTGCTGTTCCTCTGTTGTCGCGAGGCTTATGCAGAAGCAGGCCGGTACTGTAAATTCTGTTACCATGAGAGTGGTCTTTTACAAGCGCCTCGCTTCCCATGCCCTCGCTGTTGCTTTGTCGTCCGTGGCCACCTTGTCCAGTATGAACTTGCTGCCATTTACACTAGTCTTTGCGAGAAGCATCGCTATGGCATTGGCATTCTCCTTGACCACATTGATGACCCTCACTCACGCGCTGGTAACGGCCCTCTTCGTATTCTTGACGACGACCCTAATGTTCCTGATTGGATTGTCTGCCCTGAAGACGGCACCTGTGTTGACTCTCACGGTGTTGTTGTTACATAGTGAGGGAAGATTCGTTTTTTTCAGGCGTGCGGGGTTGGTTATTGGGGGAGCGTGACTGCTCAAGTATTTCCTGCGTACACTATTCGTACGCATGCAAGCTACTATAGTACATCACAGTCCAAAGCCCGAGTAAGTTCTTTCCGTGTTGTTTCAGCTCCCCTTCCGCTCAATTTTAAGCCTTCAGCTCCAAAGCCCTAATATATAACCCTAAGCCCAAACCTAAACCCATAAGCCTCAAATCCCGAAGCCCTAAACCCCCAAACCCCCCAAGCCCAAAGCCTAGAGCCCTAAATCCCTAAATCCCTAAACCCTATAGGCCCCCAAACGCTAAAACCCTAAAGCCCTAAATCTCTAATCTCGAAACCCTAAGCCCCCTTAATGTAAGCCCCTATACTACCCGGATTTTATCTTTTGCGCTATAGCAGGCATTGCGAGCCATGGTCGGAAGTACTGCTGGACAGGCCAAGGGGGGCTTACATGAAGGGGTTAGGGTTTAGGAAAGAGGAAATGGGGTTTAGGGTTAAGGGCTTAGGATTTAGGGCTTAGGATTTGGGGTTTAGGCTCGGGGTTTAGGATTAAGGGCTTGGTTAAGGATTTAGGGTTTGGGGTTTAGGTGTGAAACTAGGAAGGGCATCGGCACCTTTTCATCCCACAGAACATAGCTAACTCGTGTGCCTTGAGCCAAACCCAATCAAATCATCGTAGCAGCTGTACACTTCTCGATTTGTGCCGGATGGCACAGCTACGCAGCGGCTCTGGCAACGTGAACCTATCTTTGGGTTTCACACTGGTTCAAAAATGTCTTCCCCCTTCTCAAGGGTCGGAGCCGGATTTTCAAATATTTTCAGAGATGGTCAGTGGCATGGGGGGGGGCACTGCCATACATGTAGGGGCCGACGCACTTCACAACGGACCCCATGGATTGGATGAAGTCATCGCCAGTGACCCCATTGATGCCCATGTGGTAGAATTGCAAAGCTCCCACCAACTTGGCAGGACCATTGACGATGATTGCAAACCTGACGTAGTAACGCGAAGCTTCCACGGACTTGGCGAGGCCGTCGATGGCACCCACGTAGAATGCGAACTTGCGGTCGTAGAGCATGACGTAGTGTTTGAGGACGACAATCTCGTAGAGGATGTTGTGGTAGTCGGCGAGGTCGTAGAGAGACTTCTTGTAGGCCACCGTGGGGGCTGTTGCAGCCAAGGAAACAAATGTAGGTAATCTGGCCATAGTCGACCTCGTCATCAGGGCTGTGCTTGTAGGGCGTGTCGCCGCACAGGAGGTAGCAAACGCCAAAGTCGCACAGGAAACTGTGGCAGACGATGTGGCCGTCCAAGATGTTGCCGTGGAGGAATTCCTTGTAGTGAATGCTGTCATAGTGCCCGTGGTTGCCGGACCCGTAGTCGCACACCATGCTGGCCACGAAGATGTGGTAACAGACAGTGTTGTCAAGGGAGGTGTAGTTGTATCAACTGCTGGCGTAGAGGATGTGTTGTTGACAACTTCGGCAGAGAAAAGAAAGTGGGCGATCGCGGCGTGGTCGACATGGTCAGGGCAGATGTTGATTTGGATGGTGTGATTGTCAGGGTGGACCGTGTCGTGGCGGAGGAAATGGTCGCACAGGTAGATGAATTATGGGGTGTAGGCTTTTGAGATGCCGGATGATGTCTGCGTACTCGCAGACGATGACGCGACGCAGGATGTAGTCCTCCAGCAGGATGTCGACGTAGACGGTGTGGTCATAGAGGGTGATGTCGCATATGCGGTGGTCGCCCAAGATTGTGTCACAGACAGCGTCGTCATCGGAGATGTGGTTGACACAGAATGGTGCTACACAGGACGTGGTCAGTAAGGATGTTGGGGTAGAAGGCTGTTCCATAAAGGAGGGCATTGTACATATTGTCACAGACGAAGATGGCGTCGACATGGAACTGATTATGGTGGAGGTTGTCGTAGAGGTTGCAGTTGCGGTAGATCTCGTCGTAGACAGTGTAATGGTAGAGGGCGTATTGGTGGAACATGTTGTCGTGGATGATCTCGCTGTGGATATCGCGGTAGAAGACGTGTAAAGTGTAAAGGATGTGGTTGTTGATGGTGGCGTAGAAGATGTGGTTGTAACTGCTGCGACTGCTGTGGTGGTGGCTGTGGTCATAAGGGACGCTGTCGTACACCACGTGGCTGAGTGGGATCTTGCGTTAGCTTTGATGGACGCGGCCGGTGGAGATGTTGATGTCGATCTTGAAGTAATTGATGATGTTGACGAGGAAGATGTGTGTGTGTGTGTCGAAGATAATGATGTAGAGGTCGTGGTAGTCGGTGATGTTGATGTAGAAGAGCTGGTCCTCGAGCATGTTGATGTAGAAATATGGGCAACATCCACCGAAAATAATGATGTGTATGATGTGGTAGCCGACGATGCTGATGCAGAAGATGTCGTCGGCGAAGACGCTGATGTAGAGGACGTGGTAGTCCATGATGTGGATGCAGAAGGTGCGGTCGTCAGCATTATTGATGTCGCAGACGTGGTAGTTGACGATGTTTATGTAGAAGAGGTGCTCGGCGAACGTGTTGATGTAAAGGACGTAGTAGTGGATGATGTGGACGCAGAAGTAGTGGTCGTCAGCAATGTTGATGTAGAGGATGTGGTCGTCGACGATGTTGATGTAGAAGGCGTGGTCGGCGAACATGTTGCTGCAGAGGATGCCGTCGTCCAAAGAGATGCCGCAGAGCGGGTTGCCGCGCACAACATAGTCGTACAGAAAGCAGCTGCGCAAGAAATCGCCGTAGAAGTTGCAGCTGTAGTAGATTGTGTCATAGAGCATGCCGTTGTAGAGAGATTGGTCGCGCACCAAGCTGTTGCAGATGATCTCGGTGCAGATGTTTCAGCAGTGAAAGATGATGCCGTTGAAGATGTACTTGTACAGGATGTGCACATCAATGCTGAGAACTCCAACGGAATATTTTGGGAGGATGCTGATCTGAGCAGCGTCGTCATAGACAATATTGGCAAACACGATGGTCGTATTGCAGAGAACGAGATTGCCGCGGAGGTCGTTGTAAACGTAGCTTGCAAAGAGGGCGTCCTTGTAGAGCACGTAGTTGCGCAGGACGTGACAGCAACATACGATGGAGCCAAAGCACAAGATCTCCGCCTCAGAGCATAAAGCCGAAGAAAACGAAGTAGCACTCGACGGTACCAAACCAAAATATCGCCGCCTCAGAGCACAATCTAAAGGCAGAGATGACAAAGTAGCGCACGACGACGCCAAACCACAAGATCTCCAACGCAGAGCACGGTCTAAACGCAGAGATGACCATGTAGCGCACGACGGCGCCAAACCACAAGATCTCCACCTCAGAGCACAATCTAACGGCAGAGATGCCTTCTGAAGTTCACAAAAGTCGGCGACATAGACAAGGATGCTGACACACAATGCCAAGAACATCCAAGAACGACATGGACCCCGGGAACGGCCCCGAGGCTCCGCTACCAATGTGAAACTAGGAAAGGCATCGGCACCTTTTCATCCCACAGAACATAGCTAACTCGTGTGCCTTGAGCCAAACCCAATCAAATCATCGTAGCAGCTGTACACTTCTCGATTTGTGCCGGATGGCACAGCTACGCAGCGGCTCTGGCAACGTGAACCTATCTTTGGGTTTCACATTAGGGAATAAGTTCAGGGCTTCGGGTTTAGGGTTTGGGGTTTCGGACTTTGGATGTAGGGCTTCGGGCCTAGGAATTCGGCTTTCAGGTTTCGGTAAGAGGGTTTAGGGTTTAGAGGTTAAGCTTCAGGGCTGTTTTTGCTTTAGCGATGGTGGAGACTCCAATGGCAAAGAAAGTGGAAAATGACATGGAAGCAGGGGCTTATATGGGGGCTGATAGGGATAATTTCCAATGCTATGGTCCTAGTACAGGGTACCTCAAATAGACCTCAACATGATATTGGTAATTGACCCCCAGATGAACCCTAGCCCTGTATTGGTAGTTATTTCGACTTCTACGTTGGGATGATGCGAAGGGGGGTACGTGTACAGTAGGATTTAGGGCTTAGGGTTTAGAGCATTGGTTTCAGGAATTGGGGCTGAGGGTTAAGGGTAAAGGTTTTAGGGTTAAGGGTTTGGGGTTTTGAGTTCAAGGCCGAGGGTTCAAGTTTTGAAGTTGAAGGTTTAGGAATGTAGAGGTTTTGAAGTTCCAGGCTTTGTTCGTGCGTAGCCCGATTCAGCCTGACTGATGGTTAACTATTCGATTTCGCTGCGGATTTCTCCACCCTAAACCCTAAACCCTAGGCCCCCTCACGTCACCTCCAGCCCTCGCTCCCCACTCACGACCTATAGTCCCCCTGAAGTAGATAGAATATGGGGTATGTGGGGATCTTATTATAATATACCCAAAGCCATATTCTATCTACTTAAGGGAGACTATAGGTGGACGGGGCCGGCAGATCGTGGGTTTTTGGGTCAAGCCGTCCTCAGGTTCTAATTGTGAAGTTGCAAGCACCTCAAATCCCAAGCCTCTAAACTTAAAACCCTATACCTGAAACCCTACACCCTAAACCCTAAATCCCAAACCCTAAACCTAAACTCTAAACCCCAAAGCCTAAACCCTAAACCCCAAAACCTAAGCCCGAAAGCCAAAACCCTGAAGCTTAATGTATAAGCCCCACCCCTCAAACCCTAAACCCCTACTGTCCTAGGTTGCTGTTAAGGAGCTTAAAGTAAGTTTAGGGTTCAGGGTTTAGGGTTTAGGGTTCAGGGTTCAGGGTTTAGGGTTCAGGGTGTAGGGTTTAGGGTTTAGGGTTCAGGGTTTAGTGTTTAGGGTTTAGGGTAAGTTACTATCAGCAGGAAAACCTATCATGTACTGTGTACCCATGTTATGTTAGCTTAAACCCTAAACCCCATATACCATTTAAACCCTAAACCCTGAACCTTATATTCCCACGTTAAGTTACCAAAATGGAAACCCTAATGTAGACCCTTGATGATAAAACCCTTGCCCTTAACAGGGATTGTATTAGGGATTCTAGTTTTAAGGCCCTTACAAGGAGGGGGTTTATTAATCACGAGTCCACATTATCATATACTATTTATATACCCATATTGCGGTAGCTGAATTGAAGTTCATACACTATACACCATATGACGGTAGCTTAATTGAAGCTCTTCACCGGAAACCAAGCAGCGTCCTCCCATAGGTTCACGCTCGCGAGGCGACGCTCTACGGAGTCTTGAGGCAGGCGGAGGAGACTTGGGCCGATTCTCGGTTTCATGGATGTAGGGGTTCAGGGGTTGAGGGGTTTGGGTTTCAGGGTTTAGGAGTCAGGAGTTCAGGGTTTTGGGGGTTTTGGGGGTTTTGGGGTTTAGGGTTTAGGTTTTGGGGGTTTAGGGTTGGGGGGTTTAGGGTTTAGGGTTTGGGGGTTCAGCGTTTATCCTAAACCCTTAACTGAGGGCTTATCCAGCCCTCATCCCTGACATCCCTGAGCGCAACAACCCTACCGGCCAGATATCCCGATACAACCCCTATAAACCTTAGGATAATTCCCCTTACAGTAATAGTGTCTAAATATGGAGTTAATACTATGGCCTTAGTATACCTACACTAGTCCTTTGTGGTACCCATTGCTGGGTGGGGGATAGACCAAACAGATATCCCCAAACCCTTCTACTGGGTTGCTGTTAAGGTGCTACAGTTTAAGTCATCATATCATGGGTATACAATGAATACTGGGTTTTCCATATTATCGTAATTCAACAAAATTCCCTAAACCCTAAACCCTAGTTTAAACAGTACCTGCGCGATTTTCCTGAAACCTTACCCAAAGGGTCCAAGGACCCAAATAAAAGGGTTTTAGGGCCCAACTACCATTCATAGTATAGTATTGGGCCCTAAAACCCAATTATTT